AAAACATATAATCAAATGCACCAAGACTAAAAGTAAAGTTAGACAAATTAAGGCGTCAACTCAATACGAATACACGTATACGTACTTTAACCAACCTGTGCTTGGCGATTAGTTATTTGAAGTTACAAAACTCTTAACATTGAAAGTGTCAGTTTTAAATCTCTTCGGCTTTCATTATCAATGTACAAAAAATTCAAACATAAACGAAAATGATAGAATGTCATATAGAGGATAATGTTACAAAACTAGAATACAAACAAAATTTTTCATGGTCCACCGTTACTTTGACAAAGGGATTGATTTATAATATTATATTTATTATATTTAGCATTTATACATGGTAACATTGGTATGTAACAGAAATGTTGCAAGACAAAGATAGCTAAGATAATTTTCGAAAAGGAATAGGATCTAACGCATTAACATTTCTTCTGGAACAGGTCTAAAAAGACATTCATTTCTAATTTCTATTTATTGAAACTTACTAAAGTTTATTATATAAAAAATGTGAAATCACACAATTTATTTCCTTCAGTTAATAATAAAAAATGCGTTAGATCAAATAAGGTCAAAAATATATTGTTAACGTTTATTTTTCTTTTGTTTTAGCAAGATTAATTTGAAAAGTATATACAGAAGAGTCTCTTTTTTTTTTTGACAAAAAAAAAATGGTGTAAATTCACCGAAAGAAAAAATATATGGTAGCAGATATGGTGCAACATCTTCAAAGCAAAATACATATAGACTAAGGTCTTGAGATGGCGATGATACATAATTTTCCATTTTCATTTGAAGATTAAGGCATTACTTAGATAATCTAGGTGACATATATACTACTACTCTTGGAACGTATTTCTTTTATGACTTTTTCATTTTTTGATGTACGTTTAATGAATCTCTTTCTCTCATAGAAGATTCATGTTTAACAGGTTCAAACGTTAATTCAAACACATGCAATTTGTCTTGTGTGTGTGTGTACAATTCAAAAACACACCCTTGGGAATCTACCTTTCTGAAAGTCCTCTCCAACTCATGACACATGTCCTTAGTACTTGTTATGTGAGAGGATAGTTAGCTTTGTACCTTATGTTTTTTACTTTCCTATTGATAAAAAAAAAAAAAAAATTAAAGTCCATTTGCAACAGAAATTAATTTCCTGATTAAAGAAATAAAAAAAATTAAACCTATATGTATTCATAGCATGAAGGAAGTGTTACTTAAATGGATTATATATTTGCCTCGTTAGATCACAATTCGATGTAATTTTGTTTAAACTGCATGATCTCAACTATTGAAATAAAATCTTATACAAAATATTAATAAAAGAACATAGTTAAAATAGAATCAATTTGCAAGATTAATATACCTCATCAGATCGTTGCAATATTCGATCTCTTCTTTTATAAAATTAAATTTAAGTATTAAATATATCTAATAATTATTATTATTGCTGGAGAGAGACTGGAAAGAGGAAATTACATGAAAAGATCCAAATTCGAATGTGTTTGGTTGGTTTATGTGAGAGAGGTTAAAACTCAGTTTGCTCCGAATTCAGCTTCCGTCTTTGTACAGGCAAAGAATTCAACTCTTTTTTTTATTGGTAGATTTTAAACAAAGCACACGAGTGGAGATCATTTCTTTAGGTCTTTAAGTGGAATACATATACACATTATTTTATTTTTACTCTTTATAATTTAAACATATTTATAAATATTTTTCTCTTTTTCAATTTTTAAATGAATTCCACAAAAGTATTATATTTTTAAATATCATTAATAATTTATTTATTAACTTAATATTTTTATTAAGTTATAAATTTAAGATATTTTTTATTCTACTATTTTGCGAAAAAAAATTTCATGATACAAAATAAAAAAAATATTTAACTAAATCAAATTTTATTTAAAAAGATGAAGCCAACTAAATTACGTAATTACGATAATATAAAAGTTACAAAATAAAAAAATATATAATTAAAATAATAATTAATTTTGTAAACTATCATATCTAAAATCTTCTTAGATATGCTCCACAAGGTCGACTTGAAGGTGATGATGACATTGTCTATCATGAAGAAATGTTCTCCTTTGTAGATATGATGCAAGATTTGGATGAGGATTATTATGTATGTTAGTTGTTGAGACATCAATATTGAAATGTTCATAAGAATAACCAAAAATTACTATCATAACGGGCTGTTCTAAAATTACTATCATCAATATTGAAATGCCGAAACAAGTTGGTTTTAATAGCCTAGAACGAGCTGTTCCAAAATCGGAACGGCCCATTCCGGTAAATTGGAATGTGTCGTTCCTAAATTGGAATGGGCTGTTCTAAGTTACTAAAATGACCTAAAATCCTAATTGAGAATGGGTCGTTCCCAAACTGGAACGGAGCGTTCCAAACCACCAAAAAGGTCTAAAACCCTAGTTTGGAATGGGTCGTTCCAGTGTAGTTTGTTATGAGACACGTTCAAATCTAGAACGGGTCGTTCCACTTTTAGAAAAGGTCGTTTCAGGTTCAAATTTAGCTCATAACTGAATGATCCAGAATGGGCCATTCCGAATCTGGAATGGGCTGTTCTGGTGAGATCTGACGTCTATAAATAGTAGACTCAAGCACTATTCTCAAGGCCATAAAAAATTCGTCTAAGACTTCTTATAGCTCAAAAATCCTCTCTCTCTCTCTTTGTATTTCTTGAGAATTGTGAGGCATTTGTGTAGTGTGAAAGGTAGCCAAAAAGTACCTAATAGGTCCTCATATTTGAAGATTCATCACGAAAACAAGTTCAAGCCTCACATTTGGTATCATATTCTTTTCTTAACTTTTTTTTTACTTGTTGAAAATAATTGCATGTACATAGTGAATATGATTTGTTGTCTTCAAAGTCATTGTTTAGAAAGTAGTTAATATATAACAAATAACAACGTCGATTGAATAACATTTTTATCTTCGACGTTATTTGATTTTAAGGGTTTAATGATTAGTCATTTGCTAACTTAAATTCTTATACAAGTTCCTCTTTTTTAAAAAAAGAAAAAAAGAAAGAAATTAATAAAAGAGGTTTATTTCTCATATAAATTATCTTCTCGTATGCAACGATTTATGATGTTAATTGAGTAGCGTTTCTACCTTTAATATCATGTAAATCATAAAAGCTTATAGAATAGTCATTTGCTATCCTAAGCTTTTATGCACAAGGTAAATTAAAAATTATCATTTTATGAAAACAAAAACGATTATTAATAACATTAATTGAATAGCAATTCTATCTTTAATGTTATTGCTAGGGTTTATTGATTAGCCATTTGTTAACCCAAATCCTTATGATTTTTTAATAAAAATACAAAATAAGCATTTCTCACATTTAAAAAAATATATGTATATACATTTCTGAGGAGTAAATTAAATATTTATAAATTTATATAATTTTGCGCAATTAATTAAAGGTACTGTGTTTTTACAGGCGTCGTAGGATGCTAATATCTTTCCTACACGTAATTGACTTCCGAACCCAATTTTGATTTTAAAAATTATTTTTAAAGGGTTTTCCAATGTTTTCCCTTAAAATAAAATATTAGTGGCAGCTCCATTGAAAAATATTTCTGCATCATCCCGTTGTGATCCCGGTTACGACACACTCCAAATGCATGCTCTACATTCTTTCTTAATGATTCCTGATGTTGGACAAAAAATTTTCTTTTATCTCCTTGTGACATTGGGATAGTCTTAACCAGTGTAGCTCATTTTGGATAAATACCATCAATTAAATAGTACTTCATGTCATATCAGGTTCTATTCACCATATATTGCACCCTTGGAGCTTGTTCCTCGAAAACCACATTAAACATGGGAGATTCATTGAGCACATTGATATTGTTATTTGAACCTGCAACTCCAAAAAATGCATGTCATATCCATAAGTCATGTTATGCCATTATTTCAAGTATC